CCCCCTCCTCTCGCCGGTTCGGTTCAGATACAGTGGAGAAAGTGGTTGAAGCCGGTGCGTGGTCAGACAGCGAGTCGCCGATCGTTAAAACGGTCTCGGCGTTCCCCGTGGCCGGAAAAGTGTTCAGTGGTAAAATCCCGTACGGGAATTATGTGACGATCGAGCAGATGTCAGGTGTTGGTTGCGTCGAGTCGGAGCCACGATATTCCGCACCCTGGTATTCCAACATCGACGTGGCACTCATGGGAATTCAAAGTACCGCACAGTTCGTCGAGAAGTACCACCACATTATCGGTGAGTTTACGTATCTCTTTGCGGAGTTCTTTTCTTCGTCGTTTCGATGGAAGTTTGCTTTTTCCGATTGCTTTTAAGGAAAGGAAAGCTCGAACGAAAGAAAGAAATCGTGCAAATAACGCAAGTACGAAAGGAGATGTTACTACTATTTTTTTCTTTTAACTTTACGTTATTTCTAAGTTAAAAATAGCGCGAGACGTATCAGTCTTTTTCTTTTTCTTTTCCACGTGTTGCCGTTGTCGATGGAGATTTATTAGAAATTTCCGATGCACGAAAACGCGAATTCGATAATACGTTGCAGAGGTTGTGTAGGATCTCGATATAATTCTCGCGGGCGTCGTAAATCTGCCAACTTGAATGTAGTTCTGCGCTGAAAACTTCGGTCACCGCGGTGCACGTACAAGTGAAATAAAACTGATCGTCTTGCATACGCAGGGCCCGTTTACACGACGCCGGCGGTTTATTTATGAAAATGTAATAAGCCGGTAGAATTTTTGCCCGATGGTTTACGGTCTCAACGCAATACCGTAAAGTTAAACGAGCATCACAAATAACAGGATAATGAAACTTGTCTCAATTAATGTTATGTCTCTATGGTATGCGTTAATCGTTCGATATATTCGTTTTTCTTAATCGACGTTCGATCGGTCGGTCGAATTTAATTCGCGCCGTTCAATTCCTCCGTGTGATAAATTTATCGGTACATATTCACGCGCATCGTATCATTGTCTCGCATTATTTTCACAATTTCTTTCTTCGTTCTTGCAAGACAACGAACCAATTGTCAGTCGCGTTTGCACGCGATAACGTTATCATTAAGAATTAAATTTCTATTTAGAAAGATACTTACACGTCACAACGTGTTCGGTCAATGCCCGACGCACGTTTGGAACCGTCTTAACGCGTATCCCAACTCGATCCTCGACCACCCTCCCCTGCCCCCGGCGCTTTCCTTAGAACAAAGTCATTCAGAAATTATAGGAAGGATACAAAGAGAATGCCAACACGTGTTGTTTCTCTCCCCCTACCGCTTTGTCCTCCAATTTCTCAATCTCCGCGACACTTTGACAGCGGTGAACCGTTCTTTCTGTAAAACTCGCTTGTAGATCGTAAATCAAAGTCTCGATAAAGGCTCATTTGCCACTTCGTCGAAACGAAAGGAAACGAAACGAAACGAAACGAAACGAAAGAAAGCATCAGCGTGTCCTACCTTCGAATCACGCTCGGTCTACGCTTCTCAAAAAACGATCGTAATCTCGAGCAAGTGAAAATATCGAGGTATCGCGCGTTCTTCCTGCACGATTTATTTCAAGATGGTGGTTGCTGGCCCGCCTGCGGTGAATTCATCGTCCGGTTTTGGATTACAACGTTGCAAGAATCCGTCGCGAATTCGCGTGTCTTCGTTCGTATCGCGATTCGTGTGTCGCGAGTGTATCATGGAGAACGATCTATAAATACGAGGCGAGACGAAAAGAATAAGGAAAAGGATGAAGAGACAGAGGTGGAAACTTTAAACCGGTGGCCGC